CCGGAGTTGGAAGGCGCCGCTCGCTGCCGGGAGGGGCGGGCTGCTGCAGAGTCGGCGGTGGGTTCTGCATCTGGAGCAGCGGCGGCGGCGGCTCGGCGTCCGGGGGCCTGAGGCCCGGAGTGGGGCCGGGCAGAGGGGCGCAGCGCCGCCGCTTCGGGGAACCTGGGCTCAGCAGCGCCGCCTCGAACTCCATGGGCCGCTTCAACGTCGCCCCGCACGCCATGCCGCTGACAGGCCAGGGACCAAGAGCGGTCGCGGTTGTAACAGCGACCCAAGCTCCAGCTCCTCAGTGGAGCTCGCAAGCCAAGCCGGCTCCAATGGCGCCTCCAGCACCCGGCAGCGGCGCTGGTCCTGCCTTCTGTGACGTCACGGACCTGGCCACCGCCCGGCAGAGGGAGAGGAAGCCGGAAGAGGGCCGCTCTGGGAGGTCCATCAGCACCGGTCTGGGCCGCGGCGCCCCCTGTGGAGGAAATGGAACAGCCTGGGCGGAGAGCTTGGTCACCAAGCAACCTCGGGAAGGCCCCCACCCCCGCCTCCGCCCCTCCCAGGGTCCCATCCCCCCCTACTCCTTCCACTGCCGTCGCTCCCGGGTGGCCCTTTAGGTTTTCGCACCTGCGCGACACGGGCGTGGGGGAGGGGAGAGCTCAGCAGGGCCTGTTGCGAGCCCGCGGAGGTCGATGTCTTCACTTCGATAACCTTCTTTTATCAAGTTCTAGTCCCTGTGATAAAGGAGAGGGTGATACTAAAAGGTCCTCAAGGGCATTCCCTTGACTCCAGGGAAATCTTGGACATAACCCGAGATCTGAGGATGGACTTTAGGAAGTCCACCAATCCCGTGACATTCTGTGCAAAATGTGTGTGTGTGTGTGTGTGTGTGTGTGTGTGTGTGTGTGTGTGTATTTTAGAATAGATGATCCATACCTTCATCAGCGCATGAGAGGGGTCTGTTACTCAAAAATGTTGAAAACAAAACAATCAACTGGTTTAAACGATCCAAGAATGGTGTTCGGAGTGTTAAAAAGTGTTAAGAACTTCAGCTGATAGCTGATTTGCCAGTCTCTGACCTGGCAGTCCAGGTGCTTCTCAGGTCTATCTGAATTCTTTTCAGCAGTACCAGCTGTAAAGTGCTTTTGACATTCTGGAAAGACAGATAACAGGAGGGTTCTGCTTTCAGAAACTGTATGTGCTTGTATATTACTGGGGAGCAGGTCCAGTGCTTTAAACAAATCTTGAAAAGGATCTGTGATCCAAAAAGGTTAAAACCTTTCCATAACTATTCATATACATTAAATAATGACAGGGACTCCTGAGATCTGTCTACTTCAGTATATTTCTGGGATTTTCCAGAACAATCTAAATTTCAGATACTCTCTTCTAATAGGCGATATGCCAGGTCAACGTGCCCCATTCTTTGTCCCTAGCTGTTGCTTTTCTCTGGGTCCTCCCCAGTTAATCCAAATTTTATGAAGATTCGAACATAGGTCAAGGTTGGTTTTTTCTTTTGCATCTATCTTTGACAAACAGCAGAAATAATTCTAAAATGACTGTGCGTACCAGATGTTAAATTTGTTTTATCCGATATCTTTCCCATAAGACATAAAGAAGATTTACAATAGGCTAGAAAACTAAACATAGAACACTAGGGCCTAAAAAAAAGATCATAATTATCCTGGGGTTACACGTGACTGTCTGAATTTGAAACTTAGTTCTGAGCTTCCTGACTGCCAGGGCAAAAATGAAAACAGTACATGTTGAATAGATCTTGTCATCTGAAAGGAATCAGTTCATCAGATGATGAACTGATTGTTTTTTTTTCCCCATAGCACTAAATTCTAAAGCTAATTTCTTATGTAACTTTATTAGGAACCAGTGTATGATATAATAAAGTGATGAAGAAGATGAACAACAAATGCAAAAACAAAATTTGTATACATATTTCTTATATCTAGTAAAAGCCAAGGACATAAGCACCTAGGGATGTTTCTTTTTTTTTTTTTTTTTAAGAGGCTTGTCTAATGTGGTCTAAGGAAATTGCTTTCTTGTGGTCTAAGCTGTTTCAAAGTTAGAGCTTAAAAAGTTTTAAAAGCTTGTCCCTTGGGTCATCATTCTAAATAGCACTTCTAGTTAGGGTTTTGCTAAGTGCTTTGATAGTCATACACTTCTCTGTGATCCTTTAAAACTTTGAGCATGCCTTGTAATGTTAGTTTTAAAACAGGAAGTTATAATTTGTTTACAGATCTTACTGTGGTTCAAAATTAGAAATTCCTTGAAAATAATAACCAGGCCTCGCTCATTTTTGTTTCCCCATTTTCTGCACAGTGTTTGAATATAGTAGGGGTAGGAACAGAATAAATATCTGTCAAATGAATAAATGGTAATTATTTCAATGTTGCTCTCTTTGTCCCTGAAAGCTGAGAGTCCACATTGCTGAATAAGGGTGGATTCATATGATTCAGAAACCAAACAAGCAGGTGGTGTGTCCTATTGTAAGTTGCAGTTGATAGTAGCCCAACCAGAGCAATGTCCTTGAGAGAAGCAGATGGGCTGCTCTGACAGCCACTCAGTGTGATGTCCCCTTATGAAGTCACCACAGTCCAGATCTACTTTATTTCGTACATTCAGACACTTGACCCACGCGCGCGCGTGCACACACACACACACACACACACACACACACACACACACACACACACATATTACTAAGTACCAGGCACTATACTATCAGGGTTGAGGATATTATGGTATGAGAAAAGACATAATTCCTGCCCTCCTAGGGCTTCCAGTCTATTAGAGATGACAGACATTAATTAAATAATCACACCAACAGATATACACTTACAAACTCTGACAAGTACTGTGAAGGGAAAAAACAGGGAATTATGAAAGAGTACAATGGAGGTCTTAACCTGTCTTGGAGAGCAATGCAGACTTCCCTGAATAAGTCACATTTGAGCTAGAGATTAACTAAGAAAAGAGAAGGTGGGAACATCCCAAGCAGAGGGGACAGCATATTCAAAGTCCAGTGATAAAACAAACGATAATGTGTTTGAAGAATCAAAAGAAGTCTAAGGTGGCTGTGGTACACAGCATGAATGTAGAGTCAGGGGAGAAAAAGACGGATGAGGAAAGCAGGAGCCTGACCATTTAATGCCCTGTTAGTTACCAAGAGGTTTTTTTTTTGTTTTTTGGGTTTTTTTTTTTACCTTAAGAACAGTGGGGAACCACTTCAGGGGTTAAGGTGAGAACAAAAATGCTTAACTAGTATCAGATTTACATTTGAGGAGATTCCTGAGAACAGGTTGGAAGAGAGCAGGGGTGGGTGGAGGAGAATAGTAAAGAGGCTATTGTATCTGTCCAGATGCATGCCTTGTAATATTAGTTTTACAAAATAACAAGGAACCTCCCACCTCCTGGCACATACAAATTCTTTCATGTTCCCACCTGTGGGTGTTTTTATGATAGTTCACCCTGTGGAAAGCTCAGCAATAGGTCTGAGGCTCTATTTACTGGTGTCAGCAGTTGTCCTACCCAGGGGCTAAAGTTGGGGCTGGGAATGAAGGAAAGAAGGATACCATCTTCCAAAATCTTCTAGAATTCTTTGCCCAAAGTTTCCAAAGGAGTTGTCTATATTTGCTATCTCCTATTGCATACTTCCCACCCACCACCCATCAACCCACACCCATCTGATTTCTGCCCCGCCCATTCCACTAAAACAGGTAAAGTCACCAATGATCTCCAAGCTATGGAGGGAAGTGGACTGAGCAAGGTTTAGTAGAAAAAATGAACAGATGTTGGTGAGGATTATGTATGGAGGTAAGAGAGATGAAGGACTCAGGTATGACTCCCAGGCTTCTGGCTTTTTCAGTGCCATTTGCTGAGAAAGTTTTCATCAGACAAGGACCAGGTTTGGGAGGACAACATGAGCGCCGTTTTGGATATCCTGAGTTAGAGGTTCCTTTAAAGTATCACTTGGGATTCTCAAATGGTGTGTGTGTAAATATGTGGGTCTGGAATTCAGAAAACATCTCGATTGGAGATAAAAAATAGGAGAGTCATTGGTGTCGAAATGGTAATTGAAGTTGTAGAGGCAGCTGGGATTATATAGAGTAGGAATTCTTAGCCTTTTTTGTGTGTGTTATAAGCCCCGTCTCTGAATGTTTTTAAGTGTATAAAATACATATGATTACAAAGGAAATTAGTCATATATATGTATATATATATATACATATATATGTAGGTGTATATATGTATAAAATTTCCAGATAATCTATCAATATCTATTGGATATTATTCATTTGATACTGATAGACTACCTGGAAATGTATACTATATATCCATTGGACATTAGGATATTAATAAATTATCTAGAACTGTATAATATTAAGGGTAAAAAAATTATTATTGAGATAGAAGAAACATACTGCTAAGGAAATTCCAATTATAGCCTGTAACAAAGAGTGCCAAATTATCTAAGCAAAACCTAAGAACTACGGTGGGAGTGAGAAGAGAAGTGGTAAAATCCACCCAAAGGTTTCATGTGACTGGAGAAAGGGGAAATAAAAGTATTCTAAAAAATTTTATCTAGCTGGGAGAAGGGAAGGAAGAAGATGGGGAACTAAGCATCTCTACAGGGCAAATAGTTGGCATACTTTTTTATATAACAACAGTAGCAAAATGTATGTGCAATAATAAACATAGGAAAAGGGAAAGAAATCATATATAAAATGAAAAAGTATGGTAGAACTCAAAAATGAACAAGAAAAAGGGAGAGCAACGGTAATTTCATAAAACCAGAGTAATCAGCAAAGTAAAACAAATAATAAAATAGTATCAGTTGGAAGAACTAAAGTATTATCAATTGCCATTAAATGAAATAAGCTATTTCATTAAAAGGCAGAGATTGTCAGATTGAGTTAAATACAAACCCAACTAAGTACTGCATATAAGAAACAACTTTAGGGGCCGGCCCAGTGGCTCAGTTGGTTAAGAGTGCGAGATCTGAGTAACAGGGTCGCCGGTTTGATTCCCACATGGGCCAGTGAGCTGCGCCCGAGCTGAGCTGCCACTGAGCTGCCAACAGGTGGCAGGACGGCTCAGCTGGTGAGAATACATGTTCTAAAAACAAGGTTGCCGGTTCAGGTTCAACTCCCGCATGGGATGGTGGGCTACACCCACCCACAACTAAGATTGAACACAGCACTTTGAGCTGAGTGGCCGCGAGCTGCCAGCGGGCAGCCGGATGGCAACTGGACTTGAAGCTGAGCTAGCTGTGCCCTCCACAACTAAAATTGAAGGACAACTTGGCTGTTCCCCTTCCCCAATTCCCCAACACTGTTCCCCTTCTCCAATTCCCCAATAAAATCTTTAAATAAAAAAAGAAAAGAAAGAAAAGAAACAGATTTAAAACACAGTGACAAAGAAAAGTTGAAAATAAAGGAATAGG